CTGAATATATTCCGCGAGTTCCTTGGTGAAATATCAAGTTATGCCAGGTTAAGCAGGTTTCTTTTCCCAGTCATTTAACAGATAGTTATTGAGTACCCTGCTTTTACAGTGTTCCCTAGTGAGGAAGCAGGGGGAAAAACAAACATTTTAACAGTTGATTTAATTGATTAATTTTAATTTGGATTAGAGCTTAAGGGAAACAGAATCCTCAAACAGAGCCACACTGGAGAAGACCTGCATTGGTGAAGCTGCACAGAATAGGTCTCTGGGAAAAAGTGGGGCTGACCCCTAACAGACAAGAAATTGCCCATGCAGAGAGAGAAGGAGGGGAATCCAGGCCGAAGACACGGTGCTCACAAACAGGCCAAGTGGAAGAAGAGCCAAGTGTGTTCGGGAACTGAAGACTTCTTATGGCACAGGGGTGGGCAACCTTTTTGACTCGAGGGCCACAGTGGGTTCTTAAACTGGACTCAGAAGAAGGAGCTGCGGCCGTGTTTCCCGACGTTGCCATGTTAACACTGCTGCTGGTGAAGGAGCGGAGGGGAGAGCAAGAGAACCCTCCGCTCTTTCGGCTCCGCGGGCCGGATAGAACAGCCGAATGGGCCGGATCCGGCCCGCGGGCCGTAGTTTGCCCACGGCTGAGACAGAAAAAGGCTACTACGTGGGAAAGGTTGGTGGAAGCTACTTACCTGCTCTCACAAACCACTTATTCCAGAACACCTCAGAGCCTGTATTATGCTAATGTTATCAAGGGGCTCCAAGAGAAGAGGCAAGAGTGTACTTCTTCCCAAATCTAAAGTCAAATCTCCAATCTCCAGAAGACTAATGCTTCCCCCCAAACCATCCCCAATACTCTGGGACATGTTCTTCTAAAGTGCTGATTGTTCTATTAGTTCTGATGGTTTCAAGACACAGGTGATTTGAAACGTGCATCACTATCCATTCTCTCACAAGGCCTGACGCCTCAGCTAATTATTCCTAGTGTCTGACATGGTTCCTTGAATTCTGGCAGGACTCATTTGCAAAGAAGATTTCCACAGATAGTCTCGAGCCCAGGCAAGTCAGTCACAAATTCAAACTGAACAGAGACTGTGAAAACTTGATTTTTAAATGCTTACATTCAACAGTGATAATCACCTATATTTTTATATCCTAGGCCAAAGACAGGGAAATAAGTGAGATACAGACTTGAAATAAGAATTAGTCCTTAGAAGAAGAAGAAAAAAACTTATTTCCCTTTATATTTAGATTTTAGCATCTAATTGCATATTTCCTTTTATTGCTACTTTGTGGAAAAATACTTCAAATTTATCTCATTTTTTTCTGTACTTTAATAATGAATAGTTTAATTGGTACACGGGAGAATACTGGACTGTTTACCTTTAAGATATTCCTAGAATCTTAAATCACTGTAGTCCAAGATATACTATGAACTTTACACCCAGCTGGCTAGCTAATGAGTTACATAGATAATCACATAAAGGAACAGTAATTTTTATCAAAACAGTACAGAATTCTTGAAAGGTATTGCTAGTCTTTTAAATGAATCTGTGGCATCACTGCCATCCCCCTCTTTCTTTAAAAAACCATTTCATACATGCTTGCAAATGATACTGTGAATGACATGATCCTCTTTTCCCCCCCACGTCCAAAACCAAAAATTCAAAATCCAATTAGACACATGCTATTATTCCACATTCAAAACCATCTCTGAAACCAGGAGTAGCTGTGTATACGTTAGGGATGGAGGTTTGGGCCCAGTTCAACTCCCCGTACATCTTCATTTGCCCAGTAACACAATCTATAGCCAACTGCTAACCAAGTCAATATGTGGTAAGACTAACAGCCACCCTAACTTGACTTGATAATTATTCTCCTTTAACTGACATAATATTCAATATACTGTTGTTGAGAGCAATAATGCTAAAATTGATGCCTTGAGGGCTACAAGACAATTGAGTTTTAGCCAGATAAAATGACTTGTACACTAATAGTGCATTATAGGGTTCCACAACCTATGGAACATTTTATAGTCTACTTGTACAAAAATTTTATATATAATTATATTCTAAGGCATTTGTGCATGCTTTATCATTACTACATATAATTTTAAACTATTGACCAATAGTCAAATAACACTGCTTTAGAGAAAAAGGGTTTATTTCTATAGTCTAGCTCTTGTTTGGGGGGATTTGCTTTATTATTTTTTAAATGAGCATTTTATCACTACACAAGTGATAGCAGTTTTGTGTTCTCTGACTTCTTGCTTTTTTTCTAAACCAAGAACTGTTTTCTCCAAGGAGTAAGTAGATAATAAATGCTGAATAACAAAAAGCATCATTTAAATAAAATCTATATTATATCAATTCTATCAATAAACAAGACAGAAACTAAACCTAGTGATCCTCAAATGTAAAAATCATCTATGATTTTCTCAAAATGTCAATTCTAGACTCTGAATGGAGAATTATATTAAATTTGAGACTTTGTCAAAATGCATATTAAATTTAATGAAAATTAATCATAATTTAAGTATAACAATAAATGACAGTGTTCTTTATATGCAATATTTGACCTCAACAATAAGAGATTTTATAAATGGTTAGTTTATGGTTTTGGTGAATTTTTCTCTCACATTAATTTCTCTTGCAATTTTGTATCTTTAAAACCTGAGCCCTCATACAAAAATAAAATATGGAGTATGTTTTCTAAGCTTGCCTTACAGCTATGTTGAAATTTTGTGGGTTTTTTTGGGGGGTGGGGGTGGGGGAGGGGACTAACATCTCTAATAATTTCAAGTAAAACAAAAAATAGGCACCAGTCAAGGCAGAACATTACGACCACACCGCAGAACATCCAAAAGGTTCGGTATTTACTGACAATCAGGTGCTGCCGTAAGCTGGGTTGTTAAGATGGCAAAGAATCACAGTCATGTAAATATCTATTTGTTTGGACAGAGAGACACCATGCATATGCTCCACATAGCTTAGGCAAACATATAGTACATGCAGAACTGAAATACAGCACTGATGATCAAACTAATAAGCATCTAAGTGGAGGCAGAAAGGACAATACTAGATCGGGGCAAAATACTTGAGTAAATAAAGGAAAAAGTGCTGAACCTAGCTAACAGTTCCACTCAAACATTTGCAAGAGGTCTGTTCTTTCATGTAGGACAGGGTCAGGGAACGTCGGGCCCGAGGGCTGTATAAGGCTCTTGAAATCATTTGGTCTGGCCCTGCCAAGGCATTAGGGGTGAGTTAAATGTCTGACCAAATACAGCAGCCTAACTTTTAAGTTGATAATTCTGTATGGCCCTCGAATGATGTTATAAATATCCATATGGCCTTTGGCAGAGAAAGGTTCCCCACCACTGGTGTAGGACAGAATCAATCCAAAATGGACACTAATAATCGTGTTGCGGAAACGTCTGCAGAAAGACGTGGCCCGGATGTGTCTTGAGGCAGCACGATCCGGGATCCTTAAACTGGCTCCATGCTTTGCTTTTCCTGGCCCTTCCTCCTGGACCTTGTGCCCCCTCAGTTCCCCTGACCACCCAGCACTTAACTTTCCACTCACCCCACTGAAATGTCCCCATCCTGAGGCAAGTGAGAGAATGCTTGTGAAAGTCTTCTGTACACTGAAAATGTAATAGACAAGTATTCCTATTAACATCATCATCTCATCTTCAGAAGACCAAATTTTCTGTGCCTTCCAAGTTGACATCTCACTAAACGAAAAAATATGATTCTCTGCCTCCTATAGCAGACCTGGGAGCAGAAAGATTATCCCACTTCCCCTCTTTCTCTATGCTCACTCATCACCCCTCCCCTGCTCTCCTGCCCTGGCTAACACCTGGGGGGACCACACAGGAGAATGACAGGAATGTGTGTTTTGATGCCAGGTTAAAGCAAGGGGAGACTTGCGGGGCCCCCACTCCTCACATACCAAGCTGGCAGCCAAGGCCTTGCACACAACACAAGGTAACTTGGGGAATAAACAGGCTGGCAGAGCCAAAAGCAATTTTTTTGAAGGGCTCAATCCTCCTGGTATTATCCCCGCAGGAAATTTCAAAAATCACTTCAGAGTCTACCTTTTCCACTATGCTCTCCTCTGGCAGGAGGGAGACCTTCTTCATCATCCATGTAGTCTTTTTGGGTCCTGGGGTCTCCCAACATGCTGTTTTCAACATTTACCCTTCAAGGGTCGTAGGAAGACAGATGGCCATAAAAATACTTCAGAGGCAAAGTACACAATGCAAAACCACTCATAACATACTGCAAAATATGATGAAAGGGGGGCAGGGGAGGTTGCAGGGGAAGGGAGTGGAGGCTGTGGGCCTCCCAGAAGAGCTTTAAGACCTACTGACACAAAGAGAGGGTTCGGGCTGTAAGAGCAGGTGCTATGAAGGCCAAATCTACAACCATGCCTGCATGTTTTGGAGTGTGAAGGTTGACTGGTTACAAAAGCGGGGAATTTATAGACATTATAGTTCTTCCTTTGATTTGGACGAAGAAGCAATAATTAGTTAGGGTGCACAGACAACCAACAAAACACCGAACCTACAAATTAAGGGTGAGAACAAGCCTTACTAAACCCAGATGAAATGTCATCTCAGATTTCCACACAGGCATCACCCACCTCAAAGAGCCCTCCCTCTTGAGTAGGGCTACAGCAAGACTTGCTGGAGAAGCCAGGGCGCTCATGGTGCAGGGAGAGAGAGCTGGATTCAAAAGGAGGCAAACAAAGCAACACTAGGCAACAGGCCACTGTTTCCTTCCTAACATACACCACTGAAGCCTGCTGTCAGCCCGCTGGGACGTCACTCCTTCTTTCCAATTTCCCCGCAAGCCTGCCAAAAGCAACGTTCTAACCAGGGGAGGGTGTGCCTGCCTGGGACTGCGACAGGCAGGAAGGAGACCAGGTTTGCTTGCCAAGGGCTTTCACCCAACCCCTCCTAGAGCTGGCCACAGACACCAGCTTCAATGTCCTCCCCCTACCTGAAGGATGTACCCCCGAACGTAGTCCCGTAGCGTCCAGCCCAGGCCGTGCAGGATGTGTAGCACCTCCTCCTGCTTCAGGACACTGAAGAGCCGGTCCAGCAGGATCTTTAGCCGCACGGGCACCGCTTGTGTCCCGTAGAGCATCAGGCTGCTGATGTCAAACACCACGTTGGACTGCACAATCTCCACTTGCGTGGGGTGGTACAGGTGCTGGGTGCTGAGCTTATCCAAGGCTGTGGTGGTCCCACCAAGGTTCCGGAGGTGGATGGGAATAAAGAGACAAAGGGAGAGGACAAACAAAGCAGAAATAAGTTGTTACTGGAAGTTATCAGGGCTCCATTTCTAAGGCTGCAGATCACCACAGGAAAACCACATTAAGTCTTTAAGCAAGTGTTTGCAATGTAAATAGTTCTCTTCCCACCTCCTCCCTGTTTTGTTTATAAATTGCAGACTGCAAAAGACAGCAAGAAAATACAAAACGTATTCAACTTTCAGAAACAGAGCCACTGAGGATGTTTCTAAATGACTGTGGCTGACTCTACAAACCAGACTAATTAATTAGCTAATTGAATTATGGTGCAACCCAAGTTATCATGGTGTCCTCCCTTCCCCCACCAAAGAAAAAACGAACAACCTCCACCTTATGTCGTAAGAACAGGCTCGACCAATATAATTTAAAAAAATAAAATTTGCCCTAGCCGGTTTGGCTCAGTGAATAGAGTGTCGGCCTGTGGACTGAAGGGTTCCAGGTTCGATTCTGGTCAAGGGTGCATACCCAGGTTGCGGGCTCCATTCCCACTAGGGGAGCATGCAGGAGGCAGCTGATCAATGATTTTCTCTCATCACTGATGTTTCTATCTCTCCCTTCGTCTCTAAAATCAATAAAGTTATATTTAAAAAAATAAAAATAAAATCCACCCCTTGTAAAACCTGAATGGTTTAAAGAGGAAGAGAAGCATGTTCTTCAGAATGCAGGGGCCTAAAAGGCCTAATTTCAAAGGAATAATAAGGAAAGCTGACATCAGTGTAGGGCTCTCAAGTTAAATTACCAGGAGCGAAGGGAGATTATCCAGAGACTTAGGTCTCCCACTTTTACCTCTTGCTGTTCACCTGTGAGATTTAGTTTAGTGTTCACTGGCATGTTCTATAAAAGTTATCCAGGAGAAACAAAAACAAACCAAAAAAAAAAGAAGAAAAAAATACATTCAAGCCATAATTTAGTCATCTTTTAAACAGCTCTGACCAGGGTTTAGTGTCAAATGAAAATGGAAAACAATGACTATAATCAAAGTTTGAGAAGTTCTGTGAATTTCAGCTGTTACCTCAGTACAGAAAACGAAGGAAGACCATTTTCAGAGTAAATATTTTAATTAAATTAATATTTCAACAATTAGGCCTTTTCCTCCTCAAATCTAAAAAATTATCTCGCTCCTCTAGATCTTAAAGCCAAGATCAGATCATACTTCGAGTCCCCATCCTTATCTGACTTACTGGGAATTAACTATTGCAAATAGTTACTATTGCAAATAATATAATTATATTTTTCCTCAGTTTCTTTAAAGTGAATTAAGATAACATTGTATTATATCCAGGGCTCAAAGAGATGCTGCTGCAATGATTAATGAGATAATGAATGAGAGGTGCTTTGAACTCCTGAAGAAGACACAAAAGCATTAGGTCAATTGTAAGAATTACACACATATGGCCTTCTGGGGATTAAAACAGATAAACACCTGAGCCTGAAAAAATGGTCATCTAATCTCTTGAGTGAGGACAGTGGCTTTCAGATAACATCCAGGCTCAAATTCTAACTATACCTGAGAGTACAGTACCCAACGTTTCTGCAAGTTCTAAATCCCTGCCTGGTCTTTCTCACCCACCCTTCCCTCCACCTTAGCCCATAACGGTACGTACTGTACTGTATTGCCCATGTGCACGCTGAGTAACTCTTATTTGAATATACCAGTGTCTCTGCATATTAATGCAGGTATTTAAAAGTGCATGCACACACACGGTTTTTACTTATTTGAAATGTAGTTTTTCAGAGCTCCTCCTCCACTCTGGTTTCCTCCTGACTTGTGGTCACTAGAGAGTTCATGTACTCTTGATAAATTGCTTTCTTACATCCATAGTGTAAAGGCCCTTATCATTTACCCGCTGGCTTCATTCAACACATTTACTCCCAGGAATACTTTGTCAAAGAGTTCGGGTTTTCTCATACTTCATTTCTTGCAGTTGATTTGTCTGATCTTTCCTATTCTAGTGGTTGAGTCAACTTTGAATAAATAGCCTTAAAAATTAATTTAACGTTTGGGAAAGATAAGGGATTCACAAGCCTAGGGATTGAAGACTTCTCTCACCCCACAGGGCATTGAGCCTGCAAAAATGCAGGAAAGAAGTATTATTATCCCCGTTCTTCTTCAAGAACAGCTAAACTACTCTGCTGAGTGGCTGCTCTGCTTCCAGAACCCAGTGACTAGGTCAGGGAAAACCTGCTCTCCAACTCTCTTCCATCAACCCTCCTGGCCCAGATCAATCACTTCGTCACAAAATACTCTGCTTATACCACAACAAATAGGAAATCGAGAGGGTTTAGTAGGGGTAAGTAATTGATACTAAATCCTGATTTTTGTCCATGTGTTTAGACCTTGTACTTATGCACTGAGTACATGTAGGTGTGTGTACCAATGTGTTCGAAGGCTAGGTGGGAAAATGTCATATTAGCCCTCTCCCTCCCACCCCTTAAAAACGGCAGGCAGTTTTTAGAAGGAAAAGAAGACTAACCTGTTGAGGGTAGAGAAACATAGAGAAATTGTTCAGATAATTGAAAGAGCACAGGTGGAATAGGTATGGCAAAAACATTTCCCTAGATACGCTTTTGAGAACACCAGAGAGTGAGAGTATAATAAGGACATTACCTGATTCCTCTTCACACTAGTAAGTATGACATATGTTATGAAGTAGGAATTCTGTTACAAGCCACAGAGACATAGAACACAGGTCAATAACTTTTTTCTGTGAAGGACCAGATAGTAAATATTTTTACTTCTTATGGGTTTTACATTCTCTTCCCTAACTAATCACCTCTGTGGCTATGAAAGCAGGTCAGACTGAAACTAATGGGCATGTCTGTGTTACAATAAAACTTTATTTATACAAACAAGCACCTGGCCACATTGAGCTGTGATGGAGGATGAAAGGGTGAACTGGATAGGTTTTAAAAATTCAATAACAGATAAGGAAAGATTCCTAAGAGTGCAATTTAAGCAGCAATTACCTAGAAGATAAGCCAAAGACAAAGGCTGGGACAATATTAAAATGCCCAGCTTGCATATGTCAACTGTAAATTTTGGCATAAACATATCATCAAACATGACCTGTCAAATTTCTTGAATGTATCAATATTTTCTGCTTTATAATTGTAAGCTCATAGTGAGTCACCAAGTTGTCAACAACTTTTGGGGATGTCTCCTTGAGAACAAAGAGTAAGTGATGATTTTTTAAGTGTCATTAATATCGATAAACTGAAAACTGGACTTCTGCTTAGTGTCATGATCTTCCTATGTCTGAATGTGGAGGACTCAAATTTGGATCTTAGTAGGGTTAGAAATATGAGTTGGGTCAATGGGATGAAGGCAGGTTAGGGCAAGAATTTTTTCAGTGGCATGAAGTGGGAAATGATAGTCACCTGCTTTATACTTTACTAGAGGCCCAGTGCACAAAATTCGTGCCCAGGTAGGGTCCCTAGGTCTGGCAGGTGATCAGGGCTGATTGGGGCCTTCCTGTTGCCGGCCGGGGCTTTCCTTCATTCTGCACCTCCCCCTGGTGGTCAGTGCACATCATAGCGAGCAATCAAACTCACGATCTCCCGGTCGAACTCCCGAGGGGACAATTTTCATATTAGGTATATATATATATATATATAGATGGGCCTAACCACATGCTAAATAGTCCTGTACAAATGGTATTGCCAAAGTATCATTTTCCAATAAAATCTTAACCCAAAACTGGGTATAAAAAAATATAAAAGTGAAGCTGGAGTGAGTATGGATTAGAGAGCTTGCTTGTTAATCCCTTTTTCTCTTCAACTTGTTTAAGCATCTCAGTTGGAGCCCTAGAGTTCCCAGAAGCACAGTTTGAAAACATACTTTTCTACACAATAAAATGGAATCAATTGTTTTACCTGCTTTGCACCTACTCTCTTTTATTCTAGTAACAGAAACTGAATTTCCCTTTGAGGAATCATTCTTCCCCTATCTTGTAAAAAGAATATTCCTTAAGCCAGGCCTGAAAAACCAGCATATCCCAGTCGCTTGGCCACAGGGATGGGCAAGTGACCTAGTCTGAACAATGAGGTTGAATCAAGGACTTTAGTTATAAGTAGTGGGAAATTTTTCTCTTTCCTCAAAATCTGACGCTGGTAAATATATGCTTGAGAACAAAAATCACATGGAAGGCAGGTGGGATGCAGGTGATCTGAGAAAGACCAGGTACTGCCAATATTGTTTGATCCAGAAGATACGGACATGGTCATTTTGGGTGCGGGTACTTTACCTAGAATCTTGGGATACAAAAGCCAACAAACTCTCTCTTTTTATGTCTGCTTGGAGTAGGATTCTGTAACTTGTATCTAAAAGAGCCTTAACTAAGACAACTACCTTTGGGGTTTCCAGCTGGGTACCATGTAATTTCAAAGCAGGTGTCAGTGGTTCAGTAAAAGGTATTTTAGTTCCAGGTCAAATGCAGTTTCTCCAGTGACTGGAATGAAGTATCCTTAAAAATTTCATATCTTGCACAAATTTATAAAGTGTGATAAGTGCCATCAACATTAATAAATAAAAAATAATTATGGGGGAATAAAGGAAATGATCTCTAAGTACTAACTAAATAGCATGCATCATTTCAGGGTTTTACAATGATCTCATTTTATCCTCTCAAAAATTAAAAAACACACATTATAACTATGATCACCTATTTGGAGATCACAGACTCAATGTGGTTTAGCAACCAGTCTGAGGTCACTTAGTTATGTCTCCCAAGAAAATTCTGTTTCTACCACATGTTCAGATAAATAGTCAATAAGGAACTCTGGGAACTTGGAAATCTTCATCATGTTAGAAGTCCCTAACTCACAGCAGTCTGGGCTTCTTGCCCATCACTCTGCTGAAGCAAGCATTTCAAAGGTCACCAACACCTGCCTTACTATGAAATCCAATAGCTTTTCTCCTTCATT